AAAAGTTAGCACCGAGGTCTGTTGTTTTTCCTCCTTAACAAATTAGTGCCCCTCACGGTGTAGGAAAATGACATTGACTTTTCTCTGCTATGAAATAGTTAATTAGTGTAGCACCTTTAACATCTTTCATTTTCACTGGTCATACAGGTAGTTCTAATCACAGACCAATACTGCAGAAGTGGAAACGGAACAGACTGGTATACGTGCCTATCAAAATCTGAAATGCACATTTTGTCTAGCCGTTTTACTTCTAGAAGTTTAGCTTCCAGATATACTCATGAAAGTGCTCAAAGACACAGGTATAAGAATGTTTATTGTAGTATTGATAGTAACAATGAAAAAATAGTGGCCATCTTTATTAATTAGTAATTCTTTTATTCATTTATTTATTGGGTGCTGATTGGTTTTGCATTCCTGTGTTAGATGCTGGGCAATGCACAGTCACAGTGATCACGGAACTTTTACAGTAGAGGGGTTGACAAAACCAAAAAAAAAAAAAAAAAACCGAACTCATTGCCCTCGAGTTGTTTTGTTTTCAACTCATAGCGACCTTACAGGATAGAGTAGAACTGCCCCTAGGGTTTCCAAGGCTGTAATCTTTATGGAAGCAGACTGCCACGTCTTTCTCCCACTGAGCGGCTGGTGAGTTCAAACCGCTGACCTTTCGGTTAGCAGCTGAGCGCTTAACCACTGCGCCACCAGGGCTTCTCGGGTTGACAGAGTTTAACCAAATAATCAGACGCCTTTGGAACTATGACAAGTGCTATAAAACACTGAGAGAGTGCTTTAAGTAGGGGACTTGGGCATACAGGGAAGTTAACTTCCCCGAGGAAGTGCTCAGATATGCTGGATAAGTAAATGTTAACTAGGTGAGGAAGAAAGGTGTGTTGAGGTAGGAGCAAGAGCTTGTGTAGAGACCCTGGGGCAGGATGGAGCAAGGCAAATAGGAGGCACAGAAAGAAGCCCAGAGAGGTGAGGTAAGAGAGAGAAGGGGAGCCGGATATGAAAAGAGGCTAGAGAGGCAGTCATGGAGCAAATTTTGCAGGGCCTGCTAGACCACCTTGAAGAGTTTAATCTTTATTCTAAGACCAACAGAAAAGTCCTTGAAAAGGTTTAGGCTGAACATGGTAAGATTTGCATTTCAAAAAGAATACTTTAGCTGCTTTGTGAAGAAAGACTTGCAGGGGTCTGAGTAGATTGCAGCTGGCCAGTTAGAAGGTCATTTTAGTAATTCGGAATGGAGACGATGACATCTTGGGCTAGGGTGGTGATGGGGAGATGAAGCTAGGAGGAATATTTTGAGGGGTAAAAATCAACAGTTGAGATTGGATTGAATTTGGGGTGAAGACTGGCGGGAGATGTCAAGGGCAATTTCTAGATGATTTCTTGCAAATGTGTGAGGACTGATGGTGGTGCCATTCATGAAATTGAAGAATGCTGGTAGAAGCCTGGATTTTAAGGGGGAAGATCATGCGTCCTACTTGGGACAGGCTGAGTTTGAAGTGAGGATAAATAAATTGTGACTGAGCCATGCAGCAGAAAGCTGTGCAACCTTAAAATGTGGTGTCATGTGTGAAATGTTCAAGATGTATGTTGTGAAAAAAAGTGTGATTCCATTATGTAAAAAAGAGTGTAGTCTGTACATGTTTATGTGTATATATGTATATATGTGTGTGTGTGTGTATGTGTGCATGTGCATAAAATATAGAAAGATACAAACTATTAAGACTGAATACCCTAAGCAGGAAGGAGCCTGGTGATGCAATGGTTAAGCGCAGTGGCTGCTAACTGAAAGGTCAGTGATTTGAACCCATCAGCCTCTCGGGAGAAAAATGAGGCAGTCTCCTTTTGTAAAGATTTACAGCCTTGTTCTGCTCTGTCCTATAGGGTCGCTATGAGTTGGAATTGACTTGATGGCAATGGGTATGTTTTTTTTTACCCTAGGCAATGGCACTGGGGGAGTTGCCATAGGTATGTGAGAGGGAACTTTTATATTTTTATGGCCTTCTGGTTATACTATTTGAATGTATTGCAGTGAGAATGTATGGCTTTTATAATAAAGAAAATTAGTAACAAAGTAAGCATCCAATATGAGAGTATTTCTCTTTCAAAGATTTCTTAATTGGAAAGATCATGTAAGCATTATTATATTTTTTATTTTGAAAAGACATTTTTCCTACAGTTTTACTTCCCTAGCCCAGCAGCTTTTACACTTTGCCTTTTAATCCTTTTCCACTAGATTGCACTATTACACTAGACTTTACATAGTCTGTGTACTATTTTGTATTGTTTTTTATTAATTTTATTAATTCCAAAACAGTCAGTTGTTTTGCAGATGAGGACACTAAATTATATTGGTGCATGTAACTACTACATACATTATGTATCCCGTTTGTTAAGCGTCCCACTAGTGCTCCTTATTCACCCAATATTTCTGACCTAGAACACAAACAGTATTGTTTCTAAGGCACTGGAAATTTACCTCCCCAGTGTATGCCTTGTTTAAGCAAAAGTTACCAAGAAAAGTGAGCAACCCTCCCTTCTTCATTAACTGTTCTACAAAAGAAACACTCCTTCTTTTACTGGACATTTAATTTTAACCTCAAATTTTGATATTATTTATAGCATAAAGTGCGTGTGATACTGCTTTTGTTACATTATTGCCTCAGAATAAATACCTAAGAGTTTATGAATCAGACAGAGTATGAATATCAATATAACTCGTTTCTCAGTACGTCTGAATTTCCTCATAAGGGTACTAGTGTGCCTTGGCAGAGTGCTGGGAATGGGTTATGCATTTGCAAACACACCATCTTCTTAGCCCTCTGGGAGGCCGTGTAGAGTTTGGGCTGGTCGGAGCCTCTGGGCTGTTGCCCCTCATCCTGATCAGCCTCTAACTACTTCACTCTGCCATAGAAATATCGTTTTTTCATATGTGCCATCACCGTGGGGAAAAATTGAGAGTGTCATATAATGCCAGCCGTAGTGACAACAAACTTTTTTTTATTTGAGTATTTATAAAAGAAGAATCACATTTTAGAGAAATCCAAATTTTCTTCAAATTAGTTGACTATTAATGTAATAATAGCTTACATTTTTTGAGAATTTAATTAGGTGCTAAGCACTCTTCTAAGGGTTTTAAATGTATTATCTCATTCAGTACTCACAGTGTCTCTATGAAATTGTCATAATTTTATCCCTATCGGATGAGGAAACTGAGGCACAGAGACATTGAATAACTTGCCCAAGGGACAAAACTGAGATTTGAACCCAGACAGTCTGTCTCTAGAGAATCTTATATTAAACACTACCTTTCTGCACTCTAATTTTATTTCTCTTTGAAATCTAATATCTCACCTAGTGTCTTGGTTATCTATTGCTGCTACAACAGAAATACCACAAGTGAATGGTTTTAATGAAGAGAAGTTTATTTCCTCAGAGTCAAAGTAGGCTAAAAGTCCAAATTCAGGGCATCAGCTCCAGGGGAAGGCTTTTTCTCTGTTGGCCTTTTTCTCTTCAGTGTTCCCCTGGACTAGGAGCTTCTTGGCGCAGGGACCCCAGTCCAAAGGACGCGCTCTGCTCCCGGCACTGGTTTCTTGATGGTATGAGGTCCCCCTGTCTCACTGCTCACTTCTGTCTTTTATATCTCAAGAGATTGCCTCAGGACACAATCCAATCTTGTAGATCCAGTCCAGCCTTACTAACACAACTGCCACCCATCCTCCCTCATTAACATCATAGAGGCAGGATTTACAACATATAGGAAAATCACACAGTACTGGGAATCATCGCCCAGCCAAAGTGATATACACTTTTTTGGGGGGACATAATTCAAACTATGACACCTAGCTTGTGCAGAATTATAAAATTCTAATTATTTTTAATTGTGTTAAATAATTATGCGCTGCTCTGCCAGGCCCTTCTGTTTTGAAAAGGCTTGGAGGCTTCTATACTGGAGCCCATGGTTTAAAGTCTTGCTGTTATACTTCTCTTAGGAGTTCTTTTCCGACACCCTTCAGAGGCTGGGGTGGGCAGTCCTCAGCAAAGCTTTTTTTCCCCTTATAGATTCTGACTAATTCTTTAGCTTTTCTCTTTCAAAGAATCATTTTTCTTATGTACATAATAAATGGGATTAATTTCTATGGGTATTACCTCGTTGCTGACCAGTTCTAATGCAGGAGTCAAGGGAACCTTATTTTTTTTCTAGAAAGAAAAATAAATTGAAGATAAAAAGCCAGGAAAAATAAAAACAGTTGCCATCAAGTTGCTTCTGACTCATGGCAACCCCTATGTGTTTCAGGGTAGAACTGTGTTCCATAAGGTTTTAAATGGCTGTCATCTTTCGGAAATAGATTGCTCAGCCTTTCTTCTGAAAGGTAGACTCAAACCGCCAACATTTTGCTTAGTAGCCAAGTGCTTAACTATTTGTCCAACCAGGGGATTCCTAAGTTGAAGATAACTTGCTAGTCATAATAGTAATATCTTAAATTATTTTCCCATTTAACTATTTGGAGGTAATATTGACAAGTAGGTGACAGACTTTGCAGTCAGCTAAGAAATAGGTTCAGAATCCAACTCTGCCACTTACTAAACATATGACCTGGGGTAAGTTAGTTAATTTCCTAAGGCTTCATATCCTCATTGTAAAATGGAACTAATAACACCTATATCACATAGTTGATGTAACAGTTAAATTAGTTAATATATATAAAACCCTTAGTGTAATGCCTAGTACTTAGCACTCAAAACATGATCGCTAATGATAAGAAATAATGGTCAACTAACATTTTTTAAAGGGAGAAACATATGAAAACATTTTTTTGAAATATAGGAAGTGGCCTTAAAAGTACTAAGAACAGTTGTATAAAGATAAGGAAGAGAAGAGAAAAATGTAGGAGGTAAGGGAGAGACGTGCAGAGGGGGATGAGAGGAGAAGAGATGTGGGAGAGGTGAGAGCTATATACCCAACTTCTAAAAACAAAGTCTGGGTCTCCTTCGAGTAAAATATGGAACGAGACAGATGAGAGAATGAACAGAGGAAGACTTGACAGTTTGGTTCTAAGGTGAGTGTGTTAATCAGATTAAATTTCGTTTGGCATATCCTGCTGTTTACTGGGACAGTGATGTCTGAGTAAGTTATTATTTATTATTTCTATTCCTCGACATTCTGATTAGCTCATCAGCAATCAGTCACTATTCACAGCTCTTCAATTGCTTTTATTAAAACAGTAAACCCTTCCTCTCCCAGTCAGCAAATTATTCAAGATTGGGAACGAGTAATGTCTTTTTAGTGTGTGTTTGCCCTAGGCCAGATGAAATCTAGTCAAGCTGCTACAAGACTCAAAATGAATCATGGAATCTAAAGACAAATTTTAAATATTGTATGGTTTCTAGGGAATTTGAGGGCATGCCAGCCACCTTGGGATTAATTCAGGCTTTTTTGATTTTGGAGGGGGAGCATTGAGAAGTTGGCTAAATTGGGTACGGTAATATGCCAGCTAATTGTGTGAATGTCTTCTTGGTTTGGGCTGTGTAAACCTAGTATGCATGTTATTCTTTGCTTTTGTATTTATGAATTAGAGCAAAACTCATATCCAGGTATAACTGTAGCACAGATTATCAGGAACCCAGTGAACACAGTGGAGATCTCTTCAATATTTCTGAGGATGGTCCATTATCTTTGGAAGAAGTCCAAGAACCAGTCTATACACGTTGACTTTTCTTTACACATTAGATGTAATCATGAAAAGTTGTATATAGAACAAATGTTTTTAATATTGAGTCATATTTTCCCACCTTAACTAAGGAAGTTTGTTCTCACAGAAAAAAATGCTTTGGTCTTTTTCTAATGAAAATCAAACTCTAAAAATACTAGCTTTTTCTCAGTGAGCATTCTGCACTTGTCAATATACAGATTACAGATGAATTTTCTGTACAAGAAGTTAGTTGAGTGGATCCATAATCTTGGACATACAATTAAAAGTAAATAGCTATTTCCATGTTATTGAGATTTCTCCCTGAAGGTGTAGGGACTTGAATGTTTAAGCAGCCACACCAACCATGGCATTGTCACTTGTCTTTAGTGACATTGTCTGGTGAATAGAGCCTCAAAAAGTTGTCTGTTTATTTAGTTTTATTGGACCTCAGGAGTCTTTTTTACAAGCATGTGGTCAAAATAGGATTTTAGATATATAAATATGAACTTTTAAAAAATGAATATGCTCAAAATAATACTGGCTTTAAAATAGAGCAGTATCTATGGGATGTGTTTGAAACTCCTTTACGCTGCCTGTTTTTTAACAGTTGAGGCACCAATCAGATTTGGTTTTTGAATCCTATAAAAGCCAGCTAGACTGCCCTTACACTAGACCTGGAAAGCATGAACGATGTTTTGTTGGTTCACTGGCCAAGGACGGACAGTGGCGTTTAATCTTATGCTGGGGTTAGTCAGGTTCTAAAAGCCAGAGTGTAAGACAAAAATCCCATAGACTTAAAATTATCCTAGTAAATCCATTAAATCACGTATAAAATATAGTATGTGTAATTTTGTGTATATAATTCTGAATAATAATTCTTATACACAACATAGTCTGAGAACCACTGAGCTACAATAAAGGAAGGAACAAAAGAGGTGCTATCTGGGCACTCAGACCATTCTTTCTTTGTGGAAACTACCCAAACCATGGAGAAGTGGAGAATTCTAAAAGAGTGCTTGCTTTTCTGCAGAATTTACCCCATTCTGCTTTAAGATTAAGCCTGTATAATCTTTAGACGTCTTGATAGATTTGTTTGGTTTTGTAAAGATTGAACTAGACAATGTATGTGAAAGCACCTTGCGAGCGACCTGTCAGCGTGATGCATTTACATTAAGTCTAAATGTTGCTCATCAGGTCCACGTTGTTCTTTGCGAAGTTGTGGAGAATTTGGCCACCTGCTTCCTGTCTTTCTAGGTTGGGATTTCCCACTGCCCAGCAGTGACTTGTGTAGTCTTGCAAGTTGACTGCATCTGTGGGTCAGTTGGAGCTCTCGTGACGTAGTGGTTAAGAGCTCGTCTGCTAACCAAAAGGTAGGCAGTTTGGATCCACCAGCTGCTCCTTGGAAACCCTAGGGGGCTGTTCTACTTTGTCCTATAGGGTCACTGTGAGTCTGAATCGACTCGACGGCAATGGATTTGGTTTGGTTTTGGTGGGTCAGTTGGAGGTGGGAGTGGGTGGGGTATCAGGTCTCAGGTCACCCTTACATGTGTTGCATATAATGTGATTCAGCTGAATATCCTAGATTCTCTTGGATTCTGTAGCTTTACGGTCAGTCAACTGGTGTTCATAATTGTGTGTGAGAATCACCTGATGAAATTGTGTAACCCACCTAATCAGACTCTCATGGAATTGTGAATGTGTATTTAAATTTTTAAAGTATTTATATATTTTTTTTGTGTGTATAAATATATATTTTTAGAGAGCTGCCGAGATGATTCCTAAGCAACCATTATGTTGCATTTGGAACCCAGTGAGCAGAACTTCGAAGGTGGGATATTTTGCAACAAGTGACTATTAACATTTCTGATCCTATTTTAGCTTAAATCATTTAGGAAACGTCTATGTTATTTGTGTTTCACCTAGATTTTAAAGTACATAATTTATGTTATTAAGTGAATGAAGCATTTACTTAGGCACATAAGATTGGTAGTTTAGTAGGTATACTTAAGTTTACATATTTTAAAAATTGAATACCAATTAAGTAGCTTATTTGCTTGGGTGGTAGGGCCTTTGGTTCCTACTCTTAGGTTTCATTTAAATAATAGCCTGAGGTTTTGTTTGTTTGTTTTGAATAAGCTGGGTTTTGTGTTACATTCTTTTTTCATATTCTAGAAGGGAACTTAGTATTTCTCATAATTTAGTTTAAATTCAAAATTTTACTGAAAATTCAGTTTGAAAAGGAAATCCCCATTTCATCTCTGATTTATTAAGAAAGAAGAGGTCACCATTAAGTGTCCTATTCTGCAGCAAATGTTTGTCGCTTCACTTGTCCTTATTTTTTGATTTATGATGTATTTTCCTTTACTTGCGCATGCTTGGTCTTACCCATTCTACTTTTGCTTTGATTTGTGTCTCATTATTGCGCCTCATTGTTTATGCTCCTTTTCTTTATTTTCAGTCTCTTCCTCTCCCCTGACTTCTCTTTCTCAGTTTATGACCAAAACTTAAATCTCCCCTTACTAAAATAACCTTTCTCTCTACCTTGCTACTCCTCACTCCTCAGACTATCATTTGTTCTCTTTGCTTCCCTATACTGCCAGCTTCCTTGAAAGGCTAATCTACATCTGTTGCATCTACGTTTTGCAGTCTGGATTCCACTCTCACCACTTTATTGGAACTCTGTTTTCAAGGAGTTACCAGTGACTTCTCACTTTTCAAGTCTAGCGGTCTTTTCTAAGCTCTCTTTTTGCAATATGCGAGCATGTTGATCACATTCTACTTGATATCTCTCTTCCGTTGGCTTATGTGGCACTTCAGTCATAGTTGTCCAACCTCTCTAATTGCCTTTTCTCTTCTTTCTTTGCTGAATCATCCTCTGCTCTTGCGATCTAACTGTGTTTAACACATTTTCCTGCTTTTGCGGTCCCTCCTACTTTTTGTGCATGCCTTCTTGTGACATTTCAGTTTCAGAAGGTAGGGCAGATTTTTTGAGGTCCCACTCGTGGGGTCTACCCCAGGGGACTGTTGGGCTTAGCTGAACCAAGAGGGAACTGACCTGAGATGGCCAGAGGAAGCGAGACTAGGGTGGAAAGTCAATGTTACAGTCAGAAAATAGTGCCCAAATATCAAGTTTGAAAGGAAAGAATGAAAAATGGGAGAGTAAGCACTAAAATTGGTAGTTTGGATGTTGGGAGACAGGGTAGAGCCATATCTGATGAATGGGTCAAGAATAAGAATGCATATCTGCTCCAGATTACTCTTTTCATGGGACCTAATGTATGTTACCTGGGGGCATGGTATCTTTAAGGAATTACACTGAGCTTTGTCTTCAACAATCATTTCTCTTAGGGTTGAATTTCAAATCTACATCTGAAGGCCCATTTCAGAGCTCTGTTTCCATCCTCTTCCTAGATAGTTTCACATGGATACCAACTGGCACATAAAATTTAACATATTCCAAATACATTCTTTATTTTTATCCTAAAATTAATTCCTAGCCACAGACAATTGCTTTTCCCATGGCGTTCTGCCATTATGTGTGTTTCTGTACATGAATTATCAAACCCTAGAGATTGTAAACTTGCAGGGCAGCAAGTGTGTCTTATTTACCTTGTATCTCTCCATATTCCTCGTTGACATGCAGCAGATATTGCTGAGTGGTCTTAAGCAGCTAGCTGGGCTGAATGGAATCTGATCCCAGTTAACAGTAGGTGATCTGTGATAGTCATCTTTAATCTGACATTAATTTCACTTTTTGTGCATTTGTTTTATTCTGAAAAGCATTTTTATTAAGCTGTGCTGATGGCATAAGTGGAACAGTTAACTGGAAGACCAAACAGGCCAACAGTTTTATTATCAGCAGAAAAGTGGCTGCTGGGAAGAAAGATGGTGAGTTTAGGTGGTAAATCTAAATTCCTTTTGGGAATTCAACTAAATGTCTGCTTCCAGTGTTCCTTTGCTTTTTTAGTCACTTTTTTTTTTGTCACTTTTGTTTTTTGACAAGTTAATCTGAAAAAATCAAATTTTGTTTTTCTAATCTTCTAAAACTTGTGATCCTCTGTGTCTTAATCCATTCTTTTCTAAGTTTTTTTCCTTTGCCATAGCTTTGCCTTTTTTTTTTTGTTGTTTACTGAAAATAATTTCTGTGTTTTTAACCTATTATTGCCACTTGTTCAGTTACTTTATCTTGCCACTTACAAAAATCGTCCCAGTGTGGCTACTGTAAGAATTAATTGAAAATATTGGATGACATTAAGAAGTACATTTAACATACATCAATTGTGAAAAGCATTTGTATAACTTTAGAAAAATTGTCATGAAATATGATGGCTAATTTTAGTTGGTTTTTGTTACCAAAAAAAAATTGATATGTTTTGCCATTCACTAGTTACTTGACACTTGTTTTCTATTGGAAAGATGACATGACCCTTAATGATTGATTATTCCTTCTAAATTTTCCTTCCCTATCTATAAATGCAAGCCTTGATGATGCAATTGTTAAGAACTACGGCTGCTAACCAAAAGTTGGCAGTTCACATCCACCAGCTGCTCCTTGGAAACCCTGTTGGGCAGTTCTCCTGTGTCCAATAGGGTCACTATGAGTTGGAATCGATTCAGTGGCAATGGATTTTTTATCTATAAATGCAACAACGAGTATGCCAGGACCTTTGAAACAATACATTTTATTGGGGAGAAAAAGACTTACTTAACAGTCAAACTATTAGTTGTTTTCAAAGTGTCAGTTAAGTGAATTTTTACTTAATCTTTCTTGATTATTGATTCTTCCTTTTACCCCCAAATATTGGCTATATGTGCTTGCAAACAATAGCAGAATAATAGCCTGGTTTCCATAACTTTGGGGCAACCAAAGGGTCTATAAAAACCATAATAATTTTTATACTTAAAAAAGAATAGTAGTTATATGTGATAAAATGTCATTACTGCCGTATAAAATCTCCTAAGTACAACTTTACCTCACTTCTTCATAGGTTCCTAAAGTTTGGATCACCAACTTTTTTTTCCAGCTGGCACTGAATTATTCTTCAGCTGGAATCTCTACCCCTAGATTTCTTTCACTGTGGGACAAAGATTCTCAATATATATTCCACACTGCTGTCTTTGAAATAAATACTTTTCATTTTTAATGGTTTTTATTGCTAATATCTATAAGAAAACAATTTTATAACTATTACTTCTCATGAAAAGATCACAAAAATTGGTTTTAAAAAGCACTAGATGTACTTATTTCAGGTCCTAAGCTCATTACCCATACCCTCCTTAGATATTCCTAGGGGACTCTAGCAGCTTCCTTCATGAGAAATCACCTTTGACAGCCTTCATATGGCTGGTTGTGCAATCAGGTGAGGGATTTCAGTTTTTTGGCACAGTTGTTATTGTTGGTAGCTGCCATTGTGTCAGTCCCTGACTCATAGCAATCTGTATGCATAATAGAATGAAATTCTGCCCAGTCCTGCACCATCCCCATGGTTGGTTGCGGATTGGACTTGACACATCCGTCTTTCCTTTTTTCTAATCTTTTCTCTAGTTATAGGCCCTGGACAGCCTTCACTTTTGGGATCTGCATTGTACTTCTGCTCTGTTATCCCCGAAGGACTTTGGACTTGTTCTGAGTCCTGGTTCCCCACTTGAGATCCCCAGAGGGTCTTCCTCTGGACTTCACATCATTTTGTACTAAATTGTGGTCATCCTTTCTCTTTTCTTCACTTTCTTCTCTTTAACTTTGATCCCTAGAACTTCTTTCCTCTCACTGGGCATGCCCCTCCTGTTCCTGTTTGATTTGCCAAAAGAGTACTGATTAACCAGATGTCAAATCCAGTTTAGTCATCTCTTAAGGTGCTGTCTTAGTTATCTAGTGCTGCTTTAACAGAAATACCACAAGTGGGTGGCTTTAATAAACAGAAGTTTATTCTCTCAAAGTTAAGGAGGCTAGAAGTCTGAATTCAAAGTGCCAGATCCAGGGGAAGGCTTTCTCTCTCTGTCGGCTCTGGAGGAAGGTCCTAATCATCAATCTTCCCCCGGTCTAGGAGCTTCTCAGTGCAGGGAGTCCGTGTCCAAAGGATGCACATGCTCCTGGCTCTTCTTGCTTGGTGGTAATGAGGTTCCTCTCCTCTCTGTTCACTTCTCTATTTTATATCTCAAAAGAGATTGACTCAAGATACTACCTAATTCTGTAGAGTGCTCCTGCCTCATTAGCATAACTACCTTTAATCCTGCCTCGTCATAGGCATTAGGATTTATAACACATAGGCTAAATACAACAGATCACAAATTGGAGGACAGCCACACAGTACTGGGAATCATGGCCTAGCCAAGTTGACATACAGTTTTGAGGGATACAGTTCAATCCACAACAGGTGCTATTCTTAGTGAAATGCACTATTCCAAGACCCTTACATAGCATATTCTAAAATCAAGAGATATCTGTCTTTTCCTATTTCAAACATCATGCTCCCATTGAACCTCAAACTGATTTTCTTGGGATTTGACAGATACCTGTAGTTCTCAAAATAGAAATGGTCAGTACACCTTGAGTCTACTGAGGTAACCAGTTCAGGTTACCACAATCTCTTATTTCCTCAGTTTCTGTTGAACTTACCTCCTAGATTCTTCTCCCTTCTTAGTCTCCTCATCCTATTCAAATCCTACCATTATAGTTCTGTATTATCAAAATATCTTATACAGAGAGTAATATGTTTAATCAACTATATGAAGATAATTGATTCATCACTTTTAGAATGATAATAACAAATATCAGTAACTGGTATAGCAAGGCCATTTTAAATGCTAGCTCACATTATCAAAAGGTAGAGTCTTTGAGACCTTCTTGCCCATGAATCACAGGTCTTTTTGACAATTTTTCCAAGAGAGCACAATAGATGCTAAGAGCATTTATATGGTAAAATAACTAGCAATTATATTCTTTGTATAAATTTCTATTTTAATAATATTTCCATTCTTGACTTTTGTGGTGTGATGGTGCCACTTCTGTAAATAGGATTCTGAGGAATTTGAATGCTTCAGACCAATACATTTGGCGTCATTCTATGTCTACATACTTTAAGTGGTTATGAAAATCATAACACTCTAAATATGGATTACCATCTTTTTCTTGGGGTAGGGGTGGGGTAACAATTGAAATTTACCCCTGGAATAATTGAAATGAAAAGGGAATACATGTTGCTCAAATACATACTTCACTTACACAAACAACTTCACATTTTCCTGTCTTATTTAGGACAATTCAGGTTCTAAAATGGGTTAGTCTTAGGTTTACTGCTAAACTTTCATTGCTTTTTTCCCTAAGGAACTAAGATAAAGTTAAAATGATTGTATCCTGATTTCCTAACTATTTTCCACTTAAATTTTAAACTTTAATTAGACCCTTATAGGAGTGAAGTAATGTGTACTTTGAATAACTTCATAGAATTCCCTTCTATCATCTTAAAGTAGATTTCACCTTGGCTTACTGACAGTCCACTGCAAGGATTAAAGACAGACTATCTCTCTGATGACCTCTCTTCCTTATTGGTTGGATAGGAGCAGGAGGTACCCCTAAGACTGAAAATAAACATTCTTCTTTGCCTCTGAAAGGTGGCAAAGTCAGGGGAAGTGTCACAAAGTTCCAGGACTGCATAGGGCTATCTAAGACATGTGAGGTTCTCCTTCCAGGTTCTGACTATGAGGACTGAAATGTCTCCTTTCCTAAATTCTAGGTTTGTTTCTTTATTTAAACTAGTTTGTTGAAATTGTGATTGTCAACTCACTTCTTCAAATTGTGCAGTGTAATTAAGATAACTTCATAGAATGAACTTGGACTATCAAATTCTGGTTCATCGTAGAACAAGGAGAGATAATTAAGAAAATTAGGATTTTGTGCAATATAATAAGTCACCATTGTGGGATATAATAATAGAAATAATAGAATGTACAACCACCAGATGTATGAACTTATGTTTTAAATCAACAAAATACATTATGATGCAGGTTCAAGTCCTGGCTCTTCCTTTTGCTGTTCCTACAGGCTTGAACCGGTCATTTAGGCACTCTGGGTTCAGCTTTGTCATCTATCAAACAAAGGACTGAACTCTCCAGGAGAGCAAATGTCAGTGGATTTACTTTACGTGCCGACTCTAATTGGTAGTAACTGTTAGGAATTCTGGGGTAAGCAGGATGCTGAGGCTGTACCCCATCTCAGCAGGAAGTAGTGCTGTGCTCTTTTAATAGGGAAAGATATTTGGCATGCCCAGACAGGATGACATCTAAAGCCCTTTTCAACTGTAGCATTCTGTGAGACTAAGTTTATTGATCACCAATTAAGAGTGGTTTGCAGCCTCTTTCCAACTGACATTTAAGAAAGACAAAAATAAATAATAAAACTCTGCAATTAGTATGTGGAAAATCAAGACATTTAACTCTAGGAAAATTAAAATAAGTGACTTCAGTTGTGGTGGGAGGCGTGTCACAAAGAAACCCTTCTGCTTTTTTTTTGTAGAAAAAGACCCAAGTAGTGGTTTCTTTTCTAGCTCATGTGAAGAAAAGTAGTCGTTATCTCTTAGAGGACTGATGCGTAAAATGGCAATCCAGTGCCTTCCCGGTGATGAATTCTACAGCCTAGGCAAGGTGAATGGACTACCTGAGACTAAAACAAAAAGTATAGCTAGCCACTGAAAAGTGAATGGCCTGCAGTGTTTTGATGTTGAGTAAACTCAAAGGTGAAGGGCAGATGGCTGGGAAAAGCTTTTGATTCAAAGCCAAGATTTGAAATAAAGCTGGATTGATCAAATACAAGGAAAATCAGGTTGTGTACTTGGATATTGTTGCCTCTTAAAATATTTTTCTACAGTAATTATCTGGTTTAATAATTAAAT